ATTATAGATAAACTAGAAAAAAGAATATTTTAAAATACGAGATACCTTTTGATCCAAATATAGATATAATGACAGGTCTTGATATTATAAATTCTCAAACATTACTGGATTTTAAGATTTACTTAAAACTCTATAAATGAGAGAACCTATTATTAATAGATTACCTCAAGAATATAAGAAATTAAAATTTAAGTTAACATTGAAATTTTATATATCCATAATAAATAATAGAATAAGTACAACCTTATTAAAAGAATTCTTAGAATATTAAAGAATTTTAGAGAAATTATTTAAAAAAATTTTAAATTATTTGATTATTATATTTTTGTTCGCTCATATTAGCCCAGTCTCAATTGGTATCAGAGCCATATATCTATAAAGGCCACAAAAAATAAAGAAAAGTTATAATAAAAATCATGGAAGTTACAATTACTAACAGATATTGGTACTATATGTTAAAAGAAGAACAAGGAAGTTATATATTTTCTGAACATGTCCCTAAAAAATTAAAAATAATGACATTAATTATAATTAAAGAATTCCCTAGAGAAATAAGAGAACAAATATTACATAAAGTAATACTACGATTCATAAAAGATGAATATACGAAATATAGAATAATTAATTATATGCTATGAAAATTTTCGGGACTTTACAATACAAGCTTCGGAAGCTATACGACAGAGATATATCTTTCCACTACCCAAGCTAGAATTGGACCTAGAAGAAGTCATTCACTAAATTCAACTATGAAGACAAATAAGACAGACACGAAGTGGGGCGAAGTTACCTAGAAGTTTGAAGAATAACTAGCAAGGAAACTAGCTAGAGTCGTTGGAAAAGCAATGGATCGTCGAAAAGTTGAAGCTGTAAGAGACTTTTGAAATTGCAAAAGTGAAAAGAAAAGAAAATGGGCAAAGTTTTCCTTTTATAGACATAGCCAACCCACTTCAACCGTCAGATCAGGATTTAACCAATCTAGGACGTCCATCAGCTGTTAATCTGAAGCGTAAAGTTTGGACGGTTTAAATTTAATGGCCAAGATGCGTAATCACGCTTCACTTCGAAAAGATAAAAGATAGCCCATCGTGACCTATTTACCTCAATTGTTGTTTATTGGAAACACGAAAGACATCAAATCATTGCACGTATTCTAAGGACGTCTTTTCAGTTGACTCACTTCAACTCTTCGCCTTCAAAGCACTACCTCTGCTTCAAACTTCAGTAGTTTTGAAGTATCGCTTCATCACTTCAGAGCATCGCCTCTACTTCAAACTTCAGTAAATTTGAAGCATCGCCTCTGCTTCACTTTATTAATTCAAAGCACTGCTTCAACTTCAACTTCAAAATCAAATAAAGGCTTTGACGAAACTTCAAACCATCTACCAGAGGTCCTATTTTTCTGAAATCCAACCATGATATAAATAAATATATTTGAACTTGGAATATTATGTTGTGTAAAAAATAATGTTCACAGGTCGGAAGCACCCCTCTATGTGAACTCCACAACCTACTTTGGAAGTCTACGCATTATATAAACAATCATATATGGATTTAGGGAACTATTGTTACGCCTCACAACCAACGCTCAAGAAGAGACACATAGCAGTCAATCAGGAACTAAACAAAGGCCCACACTTTACGCCATCAAACTAAAGCGCCATGTGTAAGTAGAAGCTCAATGGCCAAACTAGGGGGCCTGCCGTATAACAACCATGGAGAGGTGATCCAACATTACCGAAGCGGAAGCCTCCTAACGATGTAGGACAATTGACCCCACCCCGACCAAAACGTCATATGAAGATTGGAGCCCATATGACTGGATTGGAATCATCCTAACCATAAAGGAGGATCTTTCATATCAACTTCTCCCAAGAGATCCTCTGCACAAAGATCTCATCAAAGTGATTGATGCAACAACCTAGTGTCAAGTCTTGTTAGCCATCCTATGCAGTCAGACTTAAGCCCTAGAGCTGCTACTTTTTTCATCAAGTGTTGTAGAGCCTAGGACATTTGGTATGATGACCTACGATGGGACACTTCAACCTTTAGGATGAAGTCACGTGCTTCTTCATCAGACGGACACCACTCCAGCAATGCCACTATAAAAGCTTAAAACTCACACCAATTCAAGAGTAATCCAGTTATAATTCTCAAACATTGTAAGAATGCTCTCATCTCTATATTCATTCTTATTCCCGATGTTCAAACACTTTTTGTGACTTGCAACTTAAAGCTCGTCCCATACCCATTATATTTCTTCTCATCGACTCACTTGATCGTCGGAGTGCTTGTAGCTGCCTCCCTCGCCACGGGAAAAGGGCACGAGTGACTAACGGTTTGTCAAGCGTGTAGGAAATGAGTTTACGTGGATGCAAGTAAGCCCGAGATCAATTGGCCACATTGGAGGTACAAAAATTGCGGGTCAACAAAATCTAAATTAGTCTGGTAGATATTTGAGGGCTAGAATAGTCGTGCTAAGTTCAGCACTCAACCCAACAAAGGCGGAGGCTCATTAGATTTTTAAACTTAGAATTAATCTGGTGGGAGAAATGGAAGATAAAAGAGAAAATTTGTGTTCCTTTAAGTGGGGCAAGAAAGAAAATGGTTTGGGTAGTAGTAATGAATATTAAGTTGTGAAACTTAATTATTGTCACTTCATGGAGCTTGTCATGAATCGATCTCCTCGATAAGAATCCCCAAATTTATCTTATAAATAGAAAGCGATCCTTATGCTTTATTATGATCATCAAAAAGGGAAGATAAGTGTGCGATTCTCTTGTAAATATTTTTTCGACATAGTACATTACTGTTGTGACGAGGGGTACGTAGTTTTACATCGAGACGAACCTCTATAAATCTTGTGTGTTGTTGAGTGTTTATGTTTCTTTCTTTGAATTGATTGTTCGTGGAATAATATTATAATTCTTAACAATAAATTTTCAACAAACAAAAATGAAAAAAAATTAATTACCTCACTCAATCCTCGGTAGCTCTGCCACCGGCTGTTCTCGGCCCGAGCCTCTATAGAACTTGCATCAATGTACCTATATTGGCCCAGAAATTGAAAGCAAGAAGTCTAGTTCTGATGCATATGAGATTTATTACTAAACTAGAAACACGGTTAGGCAAAACACCCATAAATTGCTAAATCCAAAGAAAGAGAAGTGCAGCTTCACTTAATTACTTTTCTTAAGTTCAGATAGCTTAAGTAAGGATATATACAAAATAGAAATGCAATGTCACTTGGAAAAGTAGATTTAGTACCCCAAATTAACTAATATATATCTACCCTCCCAGTGCATCCATCAGGCTCAGGCTGAAAGAAACAAATACTTTGCACGCTTATGCTGCAGCTGCTTCCGTGACTTGTTTTGCTTCAAGCATTTTCTCAAATTCTTCAATAGATTTGAAGAGTTCTGAGAAGTTCCCCTTTCCGAATCCTCCACATCCGGCCTTCTGATAAATATTCCCGTCCTCGTCTTTGAGCATGCATCCGATTCTCTGAATTATCTCTATAAATATTGTTGGCCTGTGGAAGAGGATAAAAGGTGAGAAGTAATTCTAGTTATTTTAATGAACAGAGTGGGTTTCTGCAACGAAGTTCTGCTCATTTTATGGTGTAAAAAAGTAGAAGAAAAGTTTCAAATCTGAGACCTTTTGTATACATACCCAGAAGCTTCTTAACCAATCAGCTATTACAAGTGAGATCATAATTGTTCCTTTTAATTAGAATTTAGACTTGTATCTATTATCTAATAATGAATTACCATTCATTCACTTCCTTAAGAACAAAACTATCAAGTCAAAATCACATGTAAATATGATCGAACTTATTTGACATTCTTCATGACTATTCTAACTTTTAGTCTTTAACATCCACGAAATACTTGTTGTCTATACCTAAATCCTACAAGTCTTTAACATCCAAGAAATACTCGTTGTTTATAACTTAATCCTACGAGTCCTTTTTTTTGTTAATTTTTTGGTCTATTCAGGTCCTTTAGTACAAATTCTTTAAAATTCATTTTTCCTCAAACTCATTTTCAACGTCACATTTCTTGGACCTATAACTTTTCTCTACTTTTTAACCACACATTCTCAAAATAATAATAATAACAATAATAATAATAAAAGTAAAAGTAAAAGTAAAAAATAAAAAAAATAAATTATTTTTCACAAAAACAATTCTCAAAAAATCTACATTAAACAGGCCCAAAATGTCTTTGATCCTAACATGACATTCAAGTTGATATTTCAAATGTAAACCACTATTGGCATATTCATTTATTTTATGATATGTTATACATTATTAACTTATACAGTTCCAACACATAAACCCTACAGTTGAATCAATGACAGCTCGAACTCGTCCCTGTGCCAAGTCAATGCCCAGTTCAAGTTCCAGACCATGCATTATGAATTTCAAATCACATTATGTATGGTTAGACTGTATCTTATATGATTTCAGTATCTAAATGCACAAGGAAATGCTTCCATGGATTGATTATAGCTTCATGGGTTTGCATAACCTATCTCCAGTAGTCCAAGCTTCAACTTAAATAAACATAGCAAATGATGTTTAAGTTTGACTAAGTTCGGGGCAAAATAAGTCTCTTCAGTACATCAACATTTTTCCATCCCAGCCACTTATATTTTCAATATTCCTTATTATTTCTCGCCAAACAAATAACATTAGCATAGATAAGAGTTAATCAAATAATGAACTAGTATCTTGAAGGGATCAGAATTTTAAGACCTGTGTGATGAAGCTAAAATGGAAAAATCAATTTCTTTGATTTGTTTGTGGATCCCATTAGGCAATAAAATTGATTATAAAATTCAAAAACTCTCCCATCGAACTAACAGAAAGAGGCATGTGTACCGAAATTGGCCTTCTTCAAACCTATGGGGCAAACTGCATAACGAGGGCAATTCCGTCTTTTCAACAGGGGTGGAACAATTTTGAGTATATTTTAAATAAAGTTTGAATTTTCTAACTTTGGGAAAAGATAAGGGGCTGTTTTCTTTGTGTTTCAGTTTTATGTTTTGAGTTTTGAATTCATTTTGAATTTTTTTTTTTTAGTGTCTATTTTGAGATTTTTGAAAATGTGTTCTTTTTGGCATTTTGAAAAATTGTTTGAATTTTTCCAAAACACCCAAAACACATTTTGAAAATTTTTACTTAATTATAACTGAAAACACCCAAAACGACAAATTTGTCGTTTTAGGTTTTCGTTGTAAATTTTTAATTTGTTTTCAAAAACACGTTTTCAATAATAGGAAAGAAAACGCGTTTTTACTATTTTGAAAAATCGAAAA